GCGGGTCATGGATGAAGGATGTGGTGCAGCCTGTGCAGGGCAAGTTTTGAACGCTTTGTTGCCCTGCTATGAAGGGAAGAAGCCAGAAAAAGCAAGCAGATTGTGGGCACATATTCAGACTATCTACTCAGAGTTGGGTGTCCCAGCCAGTGCGCAATTGCCCAAACAGCCTGGGAAGGCCCTTGAACCTGCAGGCAGGGGATTTTGAGCACTTTGACAAGTGCACACGAGTTTGACACAGGCACCAGCCTGCAAAAAGCAATCCACAAAGTTGCCACCTTCACCCCCCAAGTCTATCAGCACGTGGAAGCTTTCAATGGCAGGAAGCTGGCCAAATATGGAAGGGCATTGAAGAGCCAGTACATGGCATTGGAATCTCACATTCAAAGAGAAGATGAAAATGATGTTTGTTCCTGGCATGCCAAGCCTAAGTGGCACTTGGCTGAGCATATTTTTGATTTAGCCTGCATGCAGCAGTGGGCACTCAGAAGGGGTGGGAAGAGAAATGCAAGCAGTGAAGCAGAGAAAACCCTCCTTTGTTTCATGAATGACACACCCCCTCTGAGTGTCAACTTGCCCAGCTCAGCCTGAGGAAGGCCCAAATCCGATGTCCAGCTTCAGCCTGAAAGAAGGCCATGCAACCATAGGTACAATATGTTTCACCTTGTCTCACACAGTTGTGCCAAGGAAAAAGATGCACATGCTGATTTGCAGAAGCCACTTTTTGTAGCTTCTAGAGTTCAAAACCCGGAAGCCACTTTCCATGGCTGCCAGCCTAAAATCTTAGCTTCCACCAGAAGCTATTTTTTAAAGTGGCTTCTCGGATCCTTAGGGTGGTTGGGTCCAGCACATGTCGTCATGAAGGAGCACAAGAAAGACGGTGAGGGCCAAGATCGAGTTCACGTTTACTGGTTGGCCTACAAGACGCAGCTCATCAAATGTGCTCCACACCATGTCAGAGCCGACATCAAGGGCTCCCAGCATGCATTGGATGATGTCCAATCGGCACTCACCACTGTGCGACAGCTCAAGTCCCGAGGTGTCACTCGATACTGTGACTTGCACCAGCTCAACAAGAGCAACCTGACGTCTCCTACCACCAGGCACTGAGGTCACTCCAGAAGCATCTCGAGGCCTGCCGCCGACTGATGCAACACAACAGCCACTCGAACTGCCCATGGTTGAACTGGAGGACTACACTCCAACATCTCGTGCCGATGGAAGCCCACAAGCCTCCGCACCGGGACCATTTGAGATGATGCCAGCTGCGCCAACAACACCACAGCCGGTAGAACCGGTAGCTCCACCACCTTTGCCGCGGGTACCAAGCAGCATTACATCCATCTCTGAACCCAGTGAAGAGCCACCGGCTCAAACAGCACCACAAACACCAGCGGACGCTCACAGTCCGAATCAACAAGGAGCAGACCGTTCCGCTCCTCTACAGCCCACACCAGCTCTTGACTCCATCACTGCCGAGCTCTATGAACCTGCCGTTGAAGAGTTTTGAACAGAGACGTCTCCGACTGAACCGACAGGAGACCATTAGCTTTGCACCACTTCGACATCGCACTAGGGCTGAGGTGACACCGTACCCTGTCCCGGAGACTGCACCAACTCCACCGTCCACCGATGATCTTGCAGGCCACCCCTTCCACGTGGATGACATCGACGCAAAGATGCTCCCCTCTGGCTGGACAATGGATGAGCATGGCTATTTGCAGCTCACTGACCGCACCACGGACTTCTGGGAGATTCGTGCCGGTTGTCTGATTCGACATCACCTGATGCCTCGACGTGGCAGACTTCACATCGATCATCTGCCTAAGGACTGCCCAATCGAGCGCGACCAGCTGGACAGAATCAGAGTCACTGTGGTGCACCAGAGCAACGGGACAAGTCGCCTCCACACTGATGATGGCGCAGACAGTTCTGCACCTCCGAACGTCACTTCATCCTGGACGGGCGCTACCATCTTCCAGATCAATGGCTCCACCAGAAAAGAGATGGCAATGTACAGTGGCCAAGGGCGACAACACTGCACGAGTGCAAGACAGCAGGGAAAAGAACAGAAGTTGGCACGCCAGAAGAAGTTCAAGAAGGACAAGAACGGCGTGAATGAGCGACTCCTTGGACCCCACGAAAGAGCCATGTTCAAAGAGGCCAAGGTGAAGGAGTTGAAGAGCTTCTTTGACCACCACGTATACGTCTTCGACGCGACCAAGGAGGCCGACCCTGCTCGCACTTTGACCAGTCGCATCCTCTTGAAGTGGTCCAAGAACCCCGATGGATCACCTTGGGCGAAGGCTCGCCTGATTGTCAGAGGATATTTGCTGATCCCGATGCTTTAGCTGGCCAGGTGGAAACATCCTCACCGACAACAACCAGGCTGTCGAGATCTATGGTGCTCTCTCTGGCCGCCACCATGAAATGGCGACTGTGGACTGCTGATGTCAGCACCGCTTTCCTTCAAGGCCGGAGTCAAGACAGGAAACTCTGGGTCAAGCTTCCGGCTGAAGCTTTGGCACTCCTGGGAGGAGATGAGAACGCAAGGATGCTGCTCTTGAAGCCCTGCTACGGTCAGATCGACGCGCCAAGGGGCTGGTACCTGGAGGCAGTTGACCGCCTTCAGAAGCTGGGCCTGCGACAGCATGCCCTAGATCCGTGTGCCTTCCTGATCTATGAGGTGGACGATGAGAACTACCAGAAGGACACCTCCCAGCAAAACAATACCAGCCACCTGGGCTCTCAAGAACTGGTGGGCGTGATCATCATGCACGTCGATGACCTGTTGGGTGCTGGCTGTCCCTCGAGTCCGAGGTACAATGCAGTGAAGCAGCAACTTCAGGAGCATTTCTCGTTTCGAGAGTGGAAAGAAGAAGAACCAATCCTGGAGTACTGCGGCTGCGAAATTGAGAAGACAGAGGCTGGCGGTCGCAAGCTTCACCAGACCAAGTACCTCGAGAAGGTCACCCCGATCTCCTATGACAAGAAGAGGGGCACACACGAAAGTCTGCATGAGAGAGAGATCACTCAACTACGGGGCCTTCTTGGAAGTTTGCAATGGCCAGCGGTTCAGACCTCACCGCATTTGCAGTGCAGCACTTCTCCTCACGTGAACCATGGCACCGTGCAAACTTTGGCCGATTGTAACCGGCTGCTGAAGTTCGCAAAAGAACACAAAGATGCAGGCCTGTGCTACAATCACTTGGGTCCTGCAGAGCAGCTGAGACTGGTATGCTTCTTCGATGCTGGTTTCTCCTCCCGAGCGGACGGAACGTCCCAAGGTGGCTACATCGTGATGTTGATCCACGAGCACCTCTTGAGCTCATCAGAGGAGGGGGACTACCATGTGATTGACTGGCGCTCCTTCAAAACACCCAGAGTGTCACGTTCTTCGTTGGGAGCCGAAGCTCAAGCTGGTGGACAAGCCAGCGATGCAGTGGACTTCATCTGCAGGTACTGGCATCACCTTCTTGAACCAGACCTACCACTGCGAGATCTCCTCAAAGCCACTTCAACACTGAGGCCAGTGGTCATCACAGACGCGAAGGCGCTCTACGACTCCTACCACAGGGAGGGGACCACGTCTTCAGTGGTTGATAGAAGGGTCTCACTCGAGATTCGGGTGATGAAGGAGCGGCTGCAGGAGCTTGGTGGCATTCTGAAATGGGTCAGCTCTGATCGACAGATCGCTGACGGACTCACGAAGGAGGCGGCTCGATCGTTGATGGCCTTACGCATCAAGCACCATCGCTTGAAACTGACCTGGGACCCTGAATACAAGGCCATGAAGAAAAAGAGCGCCACCGAGAAGATCACCGCCCTGAAGGAGACAACTGCGAGCACTCCCTTGGTGCACTGGCAGCGTGAGGACAATGACATGGACAATGAGGAGGTTCCACAGCCTGACGAAGGAATCCCTGATGAGTATGTCAACATGGTCACCACCGAGCATGTGATTGTGTATGCCTTCGCCTCAAGCCATGTCGGCTGCCGCCGCCAGGAGTATAACACACAGTGTCGCATCAAGAATGTCATGGTTTGGGTACTTTGGCAGACGATGCTGCAGACCTGTGGTGCAGCTGGTGATCAATGTGAAGAGCGCCCATCTCCCTTCAAAGGAGACATCGCACCGCCCAAGGAGCCAGTGGTGAATGACGATGACAATTGGTTTCTCCCTGCGCTTCTTTTGGTACAAGTGCTTCTTTTTGCTGTCATCTTCCTTTGCGGCTTTGTCAGTGGCCGACGAGGAAGCTCCACTCCGTTGCCGACACCACCTCCGGCAACCTCAGAGGCTTCAACACAGAAGGACGAACTGATCGTTTACTCCCGGCTGCGTGAACAACTCCTGCTAGAACAGCAGCGCAGCTCAGAGTACCGAGACGCGGCACTCGAGGCCAGACGGGCCATTGAGCTCAACTTGGAGGAGCGCAATGCATGGTATTATAGCGAAAGGCAGCACCTCTTCACCATGCTCAGCTCTGCCCAGACACTGCTGCAAAGGTGTGAGAATGGCATTGGTTCCCACATGAGTGTTTGTCCCACTACACGACCGGTCATTGCATCCAAGACCGGAGTGGCTTGGCACTACGAGCACTGCCAGACGGCGCCCCAGATCAACGAGAGGAATCGTTTGGTCTTGCGCCATTGCTCGTTCTGTGGAGATCCAAGGTCACCACTGGATTTTCCCAACGCCTCACCATCAGTAGGTGGGGGAAGCTTGCGAACCGACATGCAGGCCTGGTTCGTGGCTTTTCAAGCCTTAGCGTACTGAAGATCACCACCGATGTGAGTTCAGACGCTGTCGAACTAGGTTGACAGACTTTGCTCGACCGCAGGGCTGGCTTAAGATGCCGGAAAAGGCGCGCGGCCGTGGTCATTTCGGTGACCTTCCAATTCGGTTGTGTTTGATCCTTTGGTTCACTCACTCTACACGTAGTTCTTCGGACACTACCTCTGTTTTGACACTTGTCGTTTTTTTCCCTAAGCTCCGCGAGGATGTCAGAGTCCAGGCTGAGACTGCATCGTACTGACTGAGAGGGCGATGCAGTGGGGAAAACTTACAAAGTACTTAGCTTTGATCAACTTCACGGATCAATACACTCAGCCGACGTTTCTTTGGCCTGTGCGTAGTACTACTTTAAGACCCCAGGAGAGGAACTTGGCTTCGGCATTATCCTGGTGTAGGCCTATGGCTGCTTGGAAGTTGCGCCTACTCAATACTTCTCAGTTTTCTGAGATAACAATACCTCAATTAGCTTTGCTTCATGCTTCTCAGCGTCGTCTTTGTAGTCTTCAATGGCTTGCAGTGCCTGACCTTGCTGACTTGTGCAAAAATTTTCGGCGATTGCAGCCCTCAACTTTCTCAGGTAAACTGTTTCCCCGTTTGGAATTGTTTTCAAGTGTTTTTCGGTTTGCAACATATTGGTTTTCTCCCACAAGCGTGTGCCAGCCCCAAGCACAGCCCGTCCCACATACCGCTGCGCACGCCCACCAGCCCAATGTTCCACATACCGCTGTGCACGCCCACCAGCCCAATGAGCTGTTCTACCATGCGTCTCAGCAAGTCCCTGCGCCCAATGTTGCCCGGTTTCCTCCCAATGCCATCGTGGACAAGGCAGCGCAGCCCGCATGCTGTGACATCGCTGGCCCACAGAGCCCACCGGGCACATGGACACCTGACATGAACAGCCACAGGAGACGAAGCCACAGATCCCGATCAGCCAGGTCCAAGGATGAACTTGGAAAGTTCATTCAAAACATGGGGGTCAGTGAATTCCACCAGTTCTTTTTTGCTTTGCCTGCAGAACACCAGGCTGTTGCCTTCCAGCCGCCTCCAGGCATTATAGTGGATGTGCGTTCTCTCACAGACACGGAAGAAAGGATGAACAGGTGTCGACGTTTGAATGAGTTGAGGCCAGAACATAGTTGAGGAAGAAGGTTTCAAATCTGTACCCATGAGCCGGTCACAGAACGATGCTTTTAGGACTTGTTCCACAGGCTTCCTCTGTCCACCACAGATGCCACCAAGTGGAAGGCAGTACTGTGCCACGTTGACCAGTCCCCTGACAAGCCAAAGGGAAGCGCGTCTTCCTCCAGAGATGTACAATGGGTTTCCTTTGAACTCTTGGATGACCTTGTTCTCCCAACCACCGAAGCTGTGCCTCCACAGCATGTGTCAGGCTTGAAAGGTTTGCAGCAACTTGCCGCTGCAGCAAGTCCGAGGATGACTACGCCGCCTGGGTCAGGGTCAAGGAACGAGTTGATGTTGACACAGCGCAAATGGTTCTTGAGAAGTTTGAGATGGGCGCGAAGTCTGTCCGTTTTGCAAAAAAAGATAGACGCCCAGCCGTCTGATGACCCTTCCTCCACTTCAGGCTTTATGGGGGTTCATTGCCATGTATGGTGTGTACAATCTCTGCTCCAATCGTGGCAGCGCTAGATCCCAAGAATCAAAGGCTTTGCAGAAACTTTGCTCTGATCTCAACGTTGAGACGGATGCCTCTTTGTCGGAGCTACTTGCGAGATGCGTGCTTCTGAGATCCTGAGGAAACCTTCTGAAAGCTGCTATTGGCTGATGCTTTGCGGGCATCTCTGGATGTCATTCTGATGATACAGTTCGCTGCTTTTGGCGCTCCGACGGCGCAGTGGCCGGTGGTGTGTTTTTAATGTGGCTCCAGTCACGCCCAACCAGGCGGAATTTGAAGCTTCTCCAGCACATTGGCCGTGACCCAACGTTAGGTGGGATCGGCTATGGACTGAGCCTTGCGTGTGTCTGGTCTTCCCTGTACCTTTACAAGTCTGTCGGCGTGTTTTGGTTTTATGTAGGGGAATCTGTTTGCTTTGCGTGACGTTTCCGAGAACACATGCCGTATTCTGGATGGTGATGGGTCCAACCTTTTTACCAGTACGTTCGGCGACATTGCTGCAATGACTGCGCCTTACATTCGTTGGCGTCCAAGGCTTTGGATGTGCTGCTGGATGCTTTTCCAAAATATGTTTTTAGTGATTTCATGTCTGTACATGAAATGTTGGACATGACTTGACCCATGAGTTCAACCGACAGGGTATGATTTTGATTGATTTTGACTCCGGTGCTGTTGCTGCAGCGGACATGAAGGATTTAGACACCTCCCATGTCCTGATGGCTTGGACATGCGGAATGCTCTGGCCCGATATTGGGCGCGACTGGTGTCAGTGGGCCGGGGCGGGGCCTCCCATTCAATGGCGTGCCTGGTAGGCGCGGCGACCCTGTGTGGAAGTATTGTTCACTTGAAATATTGGTAGCGTTTTTGCGCAATTTGCGCGACCTAATTACATTGCTATTGATGGTCGCCTAAGAAAATGCCTTGAATTCTGCTTTCCTACGTTCTGGAAGTGGTTTCCGGAGTTCTCCCAAGGTCTGGCGCTGAGCATCCTTGACAATTGCGTCTCTTTCGCAACGTCAATTTCCTGGCGCTTGATGTAACTTACCGGGATGACCTCCGGACTTTTGTAGCGTGGAGTTCCTTTCTGGCTTGAGTCAAACTGTTACTGTAACATTGGTGCTGGAAACATTTTTGAGACGGTTCTAAGATGCATGGGACGATGGTACTTGAGGAAGCTGACCCTAGCAATTTTGCTGGTCTGAAATGCATCTGAAATGGGAGCCAGCTTGCTTTGGCGCCACAAATCCTAGACAATTTGCAGGGTTTTGCTACCGCCGTGTGGATAGTTTTCCGCTTATGCCTTGGTGTTCTTGGATTCCTCGCCAGCAGCGAATTAATACTTTTTGGGGATTGATGCGCAGAGTGTTTTACTTTTCATCCACCCAAACCATGCATATCCATACGTATCCTGAGTTTGAAGGAAGCTCTATTGTTGCTTGTAGCAATTGGGCCTCCTCTTCGACCCCGAAGGGGTACCCTATCGTCTCAAATATTCTTGTTAGTGATGTAAAGGTTGTGCGTTGACTGGCTTGAACAATTTTGCATCAGGCGTGACCAGCTCTCTGCCTAAAAAGTTGTAGTTGTGGCCTGATTATTAGAGGACGCAGTGCAGGGGATTTGTCCCTGCTTGCAATAGATTTTCGTGATCTAGGGCTTCTTGTATGATGTCCGCCTAATTTTGTTGCATCTTGAACTGAAGACTTGCTTGCCACATCAATTTTTACGATTTCCGGGCAAGTGCCTCCCTGAGCTTGCTTGTGACGTTCATGTGTTGCATTGGCCTGGCAGCACGGGAGAATTCTCCGATGTGTTATTTGCTTTTCTTGTCGTTTTTTTCCCTAAGCTCCTCGAGGATGTCAGAGTCCAGGCTGAGACTGCATCGTACTGACTGAGAGGGCGACGCAGTGGGGAAAATACACAAAATACTTGGTTCTGATCACTTTCATTATCAAAAACACTCAACCAAGGAAGCGGCAAAACACATCCAGCTATCCCAAATTTACCATAGAAATCCTTGCTGCGAACAGTTCGCACAGTCACCATTGAACCACTAAGCGAACTCATCAAGCAGCCACCTCGCCGCTTGACCAGAGTGATGCTTGTAGGAAATTGGTGAGTGGAGGGGCACGGCACCAGCTGATGACTGCAGTGGTTGCAAAAGACGTAGTGGTTGCGTCAGGTCTGACAGGTGTGTGCCGGTGACTTTAGTCGCATTGGCGGGGCCGCGGAGGGGTGGAGATTTCTAAAGAGAAGTTCAGAAAAGTAGGAGGACTAAAATATAGATTCCACTCCCACGGGAAAGTGTCGAAACCTAGAGGTCGTTTCAGAGAGGTATCGGAAATGGACAAAAATATAGAAACATAGGGGCTCAAATGAAACTCAGGAAATGTCAGGACTGTTCGTTTGACATGTGATCAAACGTAGTGTCGGTGATGTGGTTGGCATGGTGACTTGCACCGAAATAATTTGTGACGCTGTGTTTTATCGTTGTAAGAATATGGTGAATTGTGGGTTGGTGTTTTGTTTTGACAGTGTGGCGAAGTGTAATGTCATGATGTGGTGAGATCTTCGGAGGTATGAAAAGAAGGTTCTAGACTCTAGTGTAGGTTTCTACAGAAAGTATTGCATGTATATAAGGCGTGCAGAATGCAGAGTCATAATTTCGCCGCATTGCCATCACATTTCACTCACCACATTCAGTTTCATCACCACACACCACACATGACAGCAGATTACGTTTAACTTCCCTAAAACAGTACACATCACATTACCTCCACACATAACCACAGTGTCACAAGTGATAGCCTCTTTTGGGATGTATTATTTGTTTTCAAGAAGGCCTACAGCGGTCCCACGGTAAAAAAAAGGGGCATAAAACTTTGGAACACTCAGAAGACAGAAAATACATCTACTGTAAAGATCAACAAAGATACCCTCAAAAGCTGAACCAGAACCATGTAAAAGTACAGAATACATCAGAAAACAATGTCTTTTAGACGCAGAGAAAATCAAACATGTCTTACATGTTGGAAGAAAACTGTTTTTTTACATATTTGAGATATACCCAACCAAGCAACATGATTTGGGTGGTGGGTGGTGTCTCCCCTTCGATTTAAACCACACAATTATTTGTAAATTATATATATAGTTGAAACACGTAGGCATAGTAGACCTGTAGAAGGAGTTCTTCATGGAAATGCATGCAGCATAGGCAGCGGTTTTCACTTAGAACTCTGCAAGTTGCACTTGATTTACAGTAGCTTCTTGCTCCTAGTCGTAAGTAGCGATGCCCTTTGTTCCTAGTAGTTTCTTGCTCCTAGGCAGCAAGAGTTCATTGGTGCCCATTGCCCCCTGACCTTATTCGCCCAAGTGGCATGCACAACAGTAGGTCCAATGCGGCACACATCTTGTGTGGAATCTCTCGGGTTGAGCGTAGGAAACGCAGCAACCAACAGGAAAAAGACACATAATTTTGACAGCTGCCTAAGGAATCTTGTTCAATGCAGACATACCATGCGGTGGCAGACCCTGGCAAGTTGCTTGGCCAAGCAAGACAATGCACAAAATGATACTTGCAGAAAGGTTCAAGTAAATGTCAGTCTGACATCGTCTCTTCATCTCATCGCGCCCTGATGACTTGGAAAGATAGACATGCTATTGTTCTTTAACTTTACCAGCCCCTCTCCACCCTTTGGCACCTCGAAGATCCTGCTACTTTGAAAGAGAAGGCGGAAGAGCTATGAACACCTTGGATTGTTAACTCTTGTTTCAGGCTTCAGGAGCGCTTTCAGTCGTTTACACGAGAGATTTGCCGCTGCGAACCAAGGCCTGGTTCATCTGTCGATGCAGACCTCCTTGACAGGCTCATGGATAAGAATGCATTCTGTTCCAGTAGAGAAGACTGTTGTTTGTTGGAAATGCAAACTTGACCGGAATACCAATGAGTCATTCATTGAAGCCAGCAGTGTAGCGTAGCGGCGTAGGGTGAGCAAGTGCAGACAACATTGCGGCAGTGTATTCTGGGAAACTTGTCTTCAACAAATGACTTGGCGTGAGCTCTGTCACCTTCAGGTTAGTGCTCAAAGATCCTGGACCAAAGGACAAGAGGTCCAGCTATGCTATGATGGCCCATTCTGCCCTCATTTTCAATCGAACAAGGGATGGGAATCAGACGGGAAATGCGACTGCTGTGGAGACTAGACATGCACTTGACTGCATTTGCAAAAGTTTCTGGTTGATATTGTGATTGTCTCTTGCTCATACCAATCTGTCTGTGAATTATCAGCTCAGGAGGGGTTCTTCCGGAAAGCCAAGTCCTTTGTCACTTCCAGGCCATGGTGTAATTCTATATTATATGAAGATCATTGAAGCAGCTGAAAGCAGTCGGACCTCAGGCCTGAAGTGGTGGCATTGATCAAAGCGCTGCCGGGCACTCTGAAGACATTTCCATGTCAGAGCTTTTTGATAATACAATGCGGCAATGCGATTGTCCTTGCCTTTTGTCTTGATGAATGTCGATCAATTACGAGTTTTGGGAGAAGCATTTCAGTCTCGAAGATGGGACAGGATGTTCTCCTTCGCACTGGCCTCACTGCTAGGCTTGAGATACTGTATGTTTTTGGCCTTTGGGATTGTCTCATCATCTAGGGCTACCATTTGGCTTCTGCATATTGCCCAGACATCGCCTTAAAGCAGTTGAGATGGCTTTGACCAAACCATCGCGTGCATGTACACGTTTGTTCCAGGGAATCAAACGGGAAAAGCGTGATTCTGTCAAGCTGCATCTATATACAAGTCTTTAGAACCCGTGGTTTTGAGCTCAAGCGCGAATGGCGACGCAGGTGGAGTGGCCATTTGTCTTGGCGTTGCGTTGCTGACATGTTTTTACATTGCCTCTATTTAAAGGAGACTGGTTCTTTCCAATCTGGATGACCTTGTTTGTAGACCCAAATGAAACTGGTGGCTAGTGCGCATTTTTGCGCATCAACTTGGATCAACCCCTTTTCTACTGGAGACCACGCGATTGGGATTAATGATTACTGTGGCGCAGCACTGAATGAAATAGGGCGTCTGCATATATTGAATTTTCTCATGTACCGATGCCAGAAACTTTCCGGCTAATTTCTCGTTCCTTTTCTGAGCAAACCAGACCAACTCAAACAACGTTGTGTAATGGAATGTCGATGCCACTTTTGTACCTTAACGGACTCTGTGAGGAATCCAGAACCTGGAAAGCAAACCATCGGAATTTCATAGTATACTGCAATGATTCACGGTTGCTACAGTCTTTCAGATCTATGCAGCAGGCACGGTTGTACCCTCCATGCCGGTGCCTGAGGAATGCCTCAGATGTTTGCTTACGCCATAAGGTTCTCAGCTTTGCATACGCAATGACGGTTTTCTGAATACTGAGACAAATACCTCTCCTGGCGTGATATCCACGAAGTGGAGGACTGCAAGAGATGCGCCTGAAAGCTTTAGCACCAAGCTTTTCAGACACTCTGCACACCGTTGAAAAACATTGAAAGACTGTCAACTGATTCAGGTCGATATATATATAGAGCTTTAATGCCCGTTGTCACATTTTCCAAGATGTAGTGCACATTGTTAGTCTTTGTGGGGTACTGACTGGGCTTTCAAACAAGGATGGGGGTTAGATGATGTTAGATGGCACTAGTTGGACATGTGAAACAGGAAGGTGCTACAAGAACCAGCAACTGGAACAAAGCAATTGCTGTGAAGCGAAACATGTGAACGCTCAACCCCCTCAATGTTTTGATTGGAGGGATTGCGCAACACGTCCGTAAGGTAGACCCTGTGAAGGCACCCAACATCGATGATCTCGAGGTGGAATCGAAGATGACATGTAGGATTTTCCAATTTTCTGCAATGTTAACTATTCTAGTCTGGAAGACCTGTGAAAGTGTAGTCGGCCCATGGCTGAGAGAAGGCCGGGGTGTTAGAAGGTGTGGGTGGTATTGACGTTTGATGTGCTGCTACAAAGCTGATGTTGTTTCTTTCAAAAGGGCGCTACTCGGGCCTTCAAAGATTGAGAGACACGCTCGGGTTCAAGAACAAACGGAACAAACGACTTGGTTTCGCCATCGCCCAAAGGCAAGCGAAAAAATGAGCCTGAGCAAACCAAGTAGTATGCAAGGCGGACCAAATCCTAAAACCAAACCATTTATATATATAATATGTTAGTCAAGCTTCAAAGTTCCATCTCGCGAAGATGAAAAGTCTGCCGCACCCACCCATTAGCGCTTTTCTGCAAACCGAAGCCAAGGAAGATGTCGTGTTCAAGTGAGAAGCAGGAGGTACACGGATGATCAGCCCCACTATCACCAAGGAACCATCCAATCATTGCTTCAGGCCACAGGCTAACTATGATTCCAAGTGTTGCGCACGCCCACACATACTTTAGATGACCATGGAATTCCACAAGCTGAGGGACTTTCCAAAGAAAGCTTGAAGGCTCCGAATCCAATCACGTGCAAAGGTCGAGCGATGGGCACAAGTCTGCGGAACGGACAGGTCCAGGGTATGTCGATCCAGCGAACCCCGGATCGGTTTCACAGATGCAACGCTGGCATGTTCGTTGGTTTCAGTCCAGTGTACATTCGTGGCAGCCCCTCTCTATCCAATCCAAGGTGTGCGAACGCAAAAAGATTCTTTCTGGTCGAACACGTGTCACCAAAGCTAGCTGTAGCAGCTAGCTGGAGTCTGTCCCATCATATCAGGGATATACACCCCCTCCCCCCTCCGCGGGCGAAACTCCCCCTTCCCCCTGACCTTTCTCAGTTCCCAACGTTGCCGCTGTTGCTGCTTCTTTGCCACTGCTGCTGCTGCTGCTGTTTCTATGTTGCTGCTGCGCTGCTGCTTTGCTGCTGCTGCTGCTGCTGCT